CGCCGGCCCGCAGCCCGCAGCCCGCCATCCTCGCCAGCCAGGTTGGCCGCGCCGGCCCCGCGCGCTGATTGGATAGAGAGGGGGCTCGACGGTGGCCGACGCGGGACAGTCTGGCGGTGGCAGGGGTCTCGGAAACCATGGGTTATTGCAGTGGCAGGTGCACGCTTATCTTCATCTGTGGCATGCAACTGGTAAGTGACACTTGGGTCCTCTGCTTCTTCGGTGTGCCTTGGAGACAGCGGCCGGGGGGAGTGCCGGGGAGGGTCTGCCAGGGATGAGGGTGGAAGAAAAATGAAGAAAGAAGGCGACCGAGAGAGTGGCTGCATTTAGAATATTTGGGGACCTGCGGTGTGGGTTGCAGTAGAGGTGAGCCTGTCGCCCCTGCGCATCCGTCCCCCTCTCTCCAAAAACAGTTTGGCAGGTGCGGGTTAAACTTGTGGTCTTTAATTTCTTGAAGCAAAGCAAGATGTGCCTCTTGTTCCTTAGGCTTTGCATTCCTATTCCTGTAGCGGCGTGATGGTCACATGCGTTTTACTATACAGGTGTGAAACTGAGACGCAGGATTTCTGACTTTTCTTCTGTACACTTTGTGCCGTGTCTTTGTTTCTTCATTGGCCTGTGCTATTTTTCTAGGACTGTATTGTCTCAATTATGATGGTCCAAATAAGTACTATTTAGGGCAAATGGTACGCTTACAGCAGTCTGATCTGGAAGCCACCTCGAGTTCTGAAAGTATGTAGATGGAAAAGAAATACCTGCATGAACTCAGAAAAACCGTCGCTACAGACCGAAGCACTAACCTTTAAATCACAATTATTACAAGCCATGCCAGGGAAAAATATCCTGTGCTACACTGTGTAGCATATCGCTGCTGAAACAGATTGTTGTCTGATCCCATAGGATGGAGAATTGTAAGTACTTTTTGAGGAATACTGTACGCTTGCAAAGAGGCAAGGATCCAATAATGGCAAACGTCATGTCTCTGTCCATTCCCTAAGGGCGAGGGAAGGAAGGGCTGAGGAGAGAGAGTAGAGGTGAAAATTACACCACCATTAAGTGGTTAATTTGGTAGGAGGAACTTGTTCACTTGTTATCAAATAGCTTTCCTTAGAAAGTATAGATTAATCTGAATAGTCATCCACATAGCTTAGCAAGTGTTTCCTAAAAGCAGAGAAAAGGACTACAAGACAGGAGGAGACGTTTGTTTGAAAGTCTCATCAGGGAAAAGCGTTGGAAAGAAGAAAGATGTGCTGCTGGATCTAGTGGGAGAAGTCCTTAAGTTTCCTCCATGGTTTATCAGTTGTCCTGAAGCTCTCCAGTATTTATTGTTGTTTGGTTGAATATGGTAGTTAGCTGAAGTGCTTTTGTTGTGTTTTGACTCAGGATGCTTTTTTTCCAGGAAAGTTATGTGGTGTTATCTATTTTGACCTGTGAATGTTGCATTCTTTCACTTAGTTGTAAGCAAAAGAAGATGGACCTATCAATATACAATTAAAAGTGTAACATTTTCTCAATGGTGTGTAAACTAGTTTATTTTTATATGCTACAGATTCATATGTTTTTCAATAAATGATTTTTTTACTCTTATTGATAAAGCTAACCAGAATAATGAAGATGTTTAGTCTATTAGACCATCCATGTACACAAATATTCCACATTATATAAATGTTTTAAAAGAGTTCTTATTTTTATATATGATTCAGAAAAGATTACCGTTGCTGATTCACAATGTGAAGCATAAAGCAGAATGAGTGGGTGGGTAGAGCATTCTTGTGCTCTTTTCAATTTAAAAATTTTAGACTACAATTTAACTTTTAATCATTAATGTAGTGGAGTCTTATTATTGTACGAGGGAAGTGTCTATATCTGATCAAATAACTCTTTGTGTGATGAATACAAAGTTCAACAACTCAAACAACGTAAATTTCAGTAGAACTTAAATATACCAAGGGGGCTAAATAGAGAAAGTTGCATGATAAAGCGTAAAGTTTCTTTGTGTATGTGCATGTGTGTATGGGTGTGTGTGCATGTGCATATGTGAAACAATGTATTAGAGAAGTGCTAAATCACTCATGAAACATATCTGAGTCATAGCTAAATTGTTTAAGAAAATAGAGGTAGCTATAGTCCAGATGTGTTACCCTAAGCAGCAAGTATATGTATGAAGCCTAAGGAATATTTTATGCTTTATAGGTATCGTGTGATTTCTCCCATTCACGTGTTATGTGCCACCAAGCTACTATAATTAGCAGCCATGTTAATGCACATGCAGAACAAAAAACAAAGGACAAAGAGAGCCAATTGTTTTATAAGATAACATGATCAGATCTTAAAGGACCTTGGAGGTTCTTGGTCACTTTTCCTTCTTGGAAATATATTATTTAATTTGAAATAATACAATTCTCTTACAAATTATAGTAGTTGTAAAGCCCCACACAAAACAAGTAGAACTATATGCTTTGCTTTTACTCTTTCTAGATTTTTAATAACTTTTTGCACCTTTGAGCTATATGAGTAGAGATTGTTTTTACAAACAAACCTGATTTCTGAACTAACTTATAACTACTATACCATTGACTAACACACAATTTCCTCTTTGTTCCCTTCTAAAGTATTTAGTGTGCGATCTTGTAACATTTGGACAACTTTTTTGGTGACTCTCCACAATTTTAGATTTATTAAAACTAACTGAAGCCAAAGGAAGTCTAATATAAAAACTTTATAAATGTCTTCATTATATAATTTTATTAAGGTTCTTTAAAGACTAATCTCCACGAGTAGAGTATTGTATATTAGTCAAATTTAAAAGAATATTTCATGTACATCAATTTACAGTCAAGCTTAGGAGAGGATAAGGTAACTTTTGCTATTGTGAATATAGGTTTGTCATTCATCAGGTTACTTTTCAGAGCAAAACAGTATTTTAACAGTTTGACAAGTGATGGCCAGACACAAATATTCCAGAGAAATATGCTGGTAGGAATTTATATCTTTGGTTTTTGTTATATTTTTAAAATGTAGTTTTATTTTAATTTTTGACAGATTTCAACTGTAGAGAAGCATATATTCTTGTAAGAAATCAGAAAATCATTTTATGAGACAAAGAAGTAGAGCTCTATGACAAAAAAGTTCAATATAAAACTTTGATTTTATGAAAAAGTATCTGCATGTATCGCAATTAAAATCTTGGAGCTAGGTGGTGACACCAGCTTCAGATTTTAGGGTGACTCTCGTGGAAAGGGGTGTGATCCCTTGAAACAGATTTGCTCTATGTGCAGAATCCAGAGTTTAAGCTCATAATCTCAGCAATGTAATTTTCTTTTTTATCATTGCTGTCTTTAATGCTCAGAAACTGAAGATTTCAGATAGTAACAGAAATCACCACATTTGCAGGACAGATTTTGCAGCATAGGTTAAGAACAGTGTAACTTCTCATTTAAAACTTTGGACAACTTGTGAAAGAGTTTGGCTTTTCTTTTTCAATGTCTGGTGGAATCAAAGAGTACTTTATATAAGTGGTGAAAACTCCTGATATTTCTCAGCGCAAAAGCACTCAGTCATAATACAGAAGAACGTAACTTATTTTAGACTGGAAAAACAGCTTTATTTTCAAGTAGGGCAGCTCAGAATTGCCCATATTTTTGTACATCGGTCTCCTATGTGGCATGAAATGTGTGTCTCACCAACTATTGAAAGGAAGTCTAGATTTACACGCAACAGATTGACACTTGAAACCACCATTCCTGCCATGTGCTCTGTGAAATATGGCTAACCCGGAGCAGGTGCACCTAACGATTAGGTTAGACACGTGTGTGCAGCTGTGTGCACCGTCTCATTGGAAACCTAATTAAGAATGATCACTTGCTTTCTACTGCACAATTACTCAACTTTTCAGAGACACATGGATTCAGGAAAGGTCATGGGTTTAGAGATAGACTAAAAATTTTATTGTAATTGTAGAGTGATGTAAATATTGTGCATTGATGTAGTGTTCACGGATATGTGCAGTCTGAGTACTTTTTAGAATTTAGACTACTGAAATGAAGTGACTTGAAAGAGCACAGATAGAGCCTTGTGATTTTCCTAAAACACTGCTGAGAAGTGGGGCAGGTCTTCAGAAACTTAGACTACAAGTGTTCCTGCACAAACCCTCCTGCTCAAAGAATTTTAAATTTCAGATTCAAACGCCATCAGTAAAATCTTGAAGTTGTTAACTGACCCAATTTAAGAAGGCTGAGAATCCCCATGTAATACTTTATAGACTTGTGAAGAAAAAATATACGCTCAGAGGCTGCCAAGCTATAAAGTAACTTTATTTCTTAGCATGTTTTGTACTTTTGTGCAGAAACATTTTTTCAGCATGTTCTTGTTTTTAACTTATTCTTTCATTTTAATTAGCCCTGCTCTGCTTTATATGATGTTTGCCAACAAAGACACAGAACATTTTTTGTGTCCAAGGCTGTTTCTTGGTTCACAAACCAGATAACAACTTCTTATACTGTTACCCACCTAAAATGTCAACCAGTCAGCTTGTGTAGACCTGTTTCCTTGCTTCCTCAGGTAAAGGTCGTGGTGAGCAATGATGTCTGTGCACTTTCAGTCCCTCTGGAAGGGGACCCCTGTGTGACTAATGGCCCAGAAACGCAAGTGGGCGTTGCTGTGTCCTTGACCCCTGATGCTGCTCTACGTTTTTTTTTTTTTTTTAAGAGTAGGAGGAATTTATTGAGAGAAAAAAATCTTCTGTCTGAGAGGGGCAGAAGGGGGCCTGGAAAGTGAGTTGCCCACCCATCCTTCTTTGCAAGGGTGTTTTATTGAGCAAACCACGAAGTGAGGCAGGTTCAAGGTGGGACAAAGCTATAGTCAACTAATAAGATACAAGTTTAGTCGCTTAGGTAATATTGATCCAGTGGGAAATCGCAAGGTGAGTGTGAGGTGGGACAAAAGTATGGTGAAGCACTAATATTCCATCAAGTATAGTCACTAGAGTAATATTGATTAAATCGGGATCAAATGGGGAAAGAAGTCACATAGCAAGCATACATGGGCAGACAAGGACTTTTCTGGAAGGGGTGGGTTAAGGAGGTTTGGTCCTCCACCCCCAAGGTGATTGATGTCTATTTAGAATACCAATCACTGCTATTCATCTCTAACGAAAGAATATGGGTGTACAGTTCTTCTTTTTTTGATGTCT